GACATTACACTTAGTCACATTAAACGGCAACAGCCAGTCCTGTGACCACTTCTCGAGTCGGGTCAGGTCTGCCTGCAAGCGCTCTTCGTCAAATTCAGTTCGGATGACGCTCCAAAGTTTAACATCATCAGCGAACATGGCGACATAACAATTCAGTTCGCTGACGCAGTCGTTGACGTATATAATGAATAGGGTAGGGCCAAGAACGGAGCCTTGTGGAACACCGCTTTCAACCGCTACCTCCGCCGACTGCCTGTCACCGACGTGGACGATTTGAGAGCGACCGATCAAGAAACTTTGTATCCACCTCAGGAGATTACCCCTCAGGCCTGTTCGGTTTAGTTTGTACAGGAGACGCTGATGGGGTACACTGTCGAATGCTTTCTTAAAGTCGACGTAGACTGCGTGCACTGCATTGCTGCCATCGACTGCCCGGGTCCAGCGATCTAAACAATATAGTAGATTCGTCACGCATGATCTGCCTCTACGAAATCCGTGCTGGGCATCGCATAGCAGATTATGCTCTTCTAGGAAGTGCATTATTTCTCGCTTTACTATTTTCTCCATAATTTTGCAGCAAATTGAAGTAAGGCTGATTGGTCTGTAGTTGTTTGCTAAGACCTTGCTGCCGCCTTTATAAATTGGCGTGATCCGCGCTGATTTCCAATCGGAGGGCAAATAGCCTGCTTCGAACGAAGCTTCGAAGCTTCTCTTCTTTCGTGTTGCAGGCCGAAAACGGCCATGTCACTACCTTTATTCACGTACTTACAGATGAACCTAATTCATTTCCCGGAATTGCAGTTTTCCACGTTTATGTGAACTTCGTTTGCTTCTAAAAGCAAAGGCGAATATGAAACAGCCCAGCGGTTACTGACTTATAAGTCATCGGTTCGCATTCGTACGGTTGCCGAGTTGCCGACGTCTTCCGCTGATCGTCTTCGGTATAAGGGACTTCCGTCGTTACCGTTAACTGTGTTGCATACGAATGCCCGAGGATATATCTTAGA